GGTAGGGCAGGGGGTGGGACAGGATGGGGGTGGGGGAGAGGAGTATGCGCCATCGAGAAGGTTCCCCAGGATGGGGTGGGGTGGGGGTCACCCATCTATGTCCCAGCTGAAGAGATGGTGCTTCACCAGCATGTCCTGCACCCCTTCCTTCAGTGGCTTCTTCTCCTTCTCCTGTAGGATAACACAGAGATCCAGGTCAGTGCACCACACCAGAAAAGGGGAGGTTGTGTCTGCAGGTAGAGCCCAGTCGTGCCCAGGCCTCCAGCACCCAGAGGAGCAGCCTTCTGCACTTCCCACCCCTGGTGCAGCTGACACAGGGAGAGGCTCTGCGGTTTGGAGAGCACCGGGGAAAGGAGGGGCCTGCTGCTATTTCCCTCTGCCCCAGCTGGGCAGGGGCAGGCAGCACCCTCTGCTATACAGTTCCTGTGCACAGCCTGCCCTGGCACCCTGGCAGGGAAAGCAGCCCCATCCACAGCTTCTGGTGCTGGCTCAAGGGGAGGCAGTGCTGGAGCACAAAGCTGGGAGGGGTAAGCAAAGCACCTCCCTAGCTGGGGGGGAGAATGAGAGATGCCACCTACTCACCTCCCTCTTTATTGGCAGCTCCCAGTCCTGAGAGAGGCTGAAGGCAAATTTGCAGAGGACTCTGTAAATGAAAAGAGTGATAGTAACATTCACACACACATTGCACCAGCTCCTCAGCTTGGCCCGGCAGTCACTAGGCTTACAAAGAGGGAAATCCTTGTTTGTTGGTGTTGAAAAGGCAACACCAGCCACCCATCTCCTGTTCCACCGTCCTCTTTGGGCTTCACATCCTGCCAGCTCCCGGCTGAAAAGCCTGCAGATGTGACTCAAGTGCAACCCCTACAGAGCCTGACACGGCAGCGCAGGGAGGCCCGTGAGGGACCAGAGAGCAGCCGGCAGTGGGGGGCTGTAGGTTCTTCTCCAGAGAGCACCTCAGAGTTTCTGCACCCTCTGTCCACTCCCTGGAGTAAGGGAAGTGTCCCGACCCCGATGCACAAGTGCCACACGGGGATGGAACATGGAGCTCCCAGCTCTAAGCAGGCGCTGCAGGCACAGCCTCTCTCCCTAGAAGACAGGGATGCAGAGCTCAGATCTCCTGATAACAAGCCCTTTAGGGTCAGGGGGAACTCCTATGAGAGGGTCTCCTCCAAGTCCTGCAGCAGTGGGGAAGAAGAGTCCCTCCACAGGAAGCCAGCTAGGAGAAACAGGGCATAAGCCTGCACACTTGCTCCCCACAAGCCTGGGCCCAGCCCTCAACCAGCCACACCTGGTCTTTTGGCTGTGCTGCACTAGCACAACCCACGTGCTGCAGGAAAGCAGCCATGGGACATGGCAGCACAGAGGTGGAGGGAACTGCATTCCTCCAATTCAGCAGCAGCACAAGGACTACTGGGCACCCCAAGGTACATAAACACGGGCTGCTTCTGGCTACAGATGCTCCCACTGGGGCCGGAGGCAGCTGAGCAGCACAGCTGGTTCCTGCAGAACAGCAGCAGCAACAGGGCTGGAGTGGTGGTGGTGGTGGTGGCGGGGGGGGTGTGGTGTGCTCTTTGGCTCCCTGGGACTGGATGTGGCTTTGCAGCATGCTGGAGGGCCAGGAGCATGCAGTGCAGATGTGTGCCCTGCTCCAAGTGATGTGCTTTGTGTGAGCTCAGCCCATTCTGCCCCTGACACCACTCCTTTGCTTTGACTGGGCAAGGTGAGTGACTCCTTCCCAGCCAGCAACAGCTGGACTGTCTCCCTAGCACATCCCCTGGGTCCTGCTTGGACTCATGGTGACTGCCAGAGGACTTGGAGAGCAGCAGGCTGGAAAAGACACTCTCTCCATCAGGGTAGGTGCAGGGGCTGTCTGCCTGTCACAACAGCTCCTCTGGAGCCAGGCTCTGCTCTTGGTCAGGCAGGCACAGTGCGTTGCATTAAACTGTCTAGACAGTTGCTGCTGCCTCAGCACACAGAAGGAAATCTCCACAATGTGGATGTCTGGGCAGCCCACGCTGCTTCTCACTGGAGTGGGCCCGAAGCCAGTCACAGTGAGGGCCACGTCCTGCAGAGGAGGAGGAAATCCATTCCAGACCCTGGCAAGGCCCACGGGGACAGAGACTCACCTCAGCTCACATTTGATCTGCACCCAGCCAGGACTGCGCAGGAAGGACCAGGGATGGAACCACTTCTCCACGGTCTGCAGGCTTGAGCACAGCACCTCCAGCCACAAATGCAGCACCTGCTCACTGCAGCAATGGGGTAGAGGCATGTTACTCAGATGAAGCCAGGGAAAGAAGCCCCATTGGGACAGTCTATTTTCAGCCCAAGCCTTGACCTCAGGCCACAGTCCAGTTCCTAGGGGGAACAGGAAGCTTATGTGACCCCCTCCATGCAGTGAGATCTACTTCTTCCAGCCAGCTGCCATGCCAGCATGATAAGCAATAAAGGAGCAGGTCCCACTGAGTGGCTTCAGTGAGAAGGGAAAAAGAACCTGTGGCATAAGGTGGACTGAAACAACTGCTGCTCTTGAGCATGCTCTTCCCCCTCCCAAGCTCCTCACACCCACAAAGCTGAGGGTACCAGTACTGGGTGACTCACTTGAGCCCAACGCAGATGAGGGAGCGAAGCTTCACATCCATCTGTGCATGTGCAGCATCGTGCGTCATGTTCACAGCCTGAACTGCCTGCAGGGTGGGAAGATGTGGTTACCACCTTCTCAGCTTAGCCTTAGGCTGGGCAGCCATTTCAGAGACATAGCCAAATGTTACAACCCCAAAGCTCCCCAACCCTCACCCAGTGCCACCTGCTAGCATCAGAGAGGCCAAGCCTTCCTGATGGCTTCACTTTCTTCCTTTCCCCAGGCACCTGGTGATTCTACTCCTTCCCATTAAGGAAGGTCTGGGAGAGTCTCAAGCATCTCCCTACTGAAAGGCAACACCCTCCAGCAGCCTCCATGGGGAAACTTCCACACATTAGGAACTGGGAGCTGGCTGGGGTCAGCACTCACCCGGTAAAGCAGCTCCTCTGGAGTGAGGACTTTGCCGTCTTCATCAAGCCTGCAAAGATCACAGCAGAGACCTAGCTAGCCCAGGAGCCAACCCTGGCACATGCAGGCCTTTTCCCCTCCATACCCCAACAGCTCTCTTGCTACTGATGAGCCCACAGGTGATCCTGCAGCCGTAAGAGAGCAAGATACAGACCCAGCAGCAAACATGGGAGCCCAGGGAAACAGGAAAGAGCCACTGCCAGCCAAAGTCAGCACAGGCACAGCAGCCTGCTGACACCATGCCTGCAGGAGGATGGGGCAGACCAGGACCCTTCCCAAGGTGGAGAGCAGCAGCAGTTTGAGGAGCACAGAAGAAGCAGGGCACAGACCCAGCCACCTGGTGTGAATAAAGTGGCTTTACCTGTAAGTCTTGCAGAGCACAAGGCGAGAATACACAGAGTCAAAATCCCGTTCCACTTCCCGGCTTGCAGCCTAGTCAGGCAGAGGGACAGTCAGTACACTCTGCCCTACAGCTGCCTCACCCCAGCCCTCTGGCCACACATCCCCATGGAGGAAACTGAGACATCTCACCTCTTCAATGAACAGCCAGGGATGGCAGGCACCCCCCAGCAGAGATGGCTTCTTCAGTCCATGTTCAAATATGGACTTCAAGGCTGGACACAGTGTCCCTCGCACCAAGTCCGTCACCCCTTCTGTGACAGAGTCATCTCCAGCGATGGAGTACTGAGGAACACAAAGAGCCAGCTCTCAGCACACTGGTGAGGGGTAGAGCATGGAGGCAGTCTGCTCACCTACACCTTCTCTGCTTCTCTTCCACTGCCAGGTGCCCACCAGCCCCCCATCCCTTAAAGCCTTTTTGCTGTTAGTGGCTCTTGCATAAGACACAATTTTCAGTGCTAATCCCCTGGGAATTACTGGGACACCAGGACCTTTGTACCTAGGTGCAGTCCAGGAGACCACACAGGTGACCCCCAGCACCATGGAATTGCTGTGGTTTGGTAAGATGCTGATCAAGCTAAGGTAAGGAAATGGACTTACACTGAGGGTCTCTGGGACTCTGTAAGCTGCTAAAAGTCAAGGCAAATGGGAATTCCAAGGCAGAACCCTGACATGCTGTTAGCATGAAGGATATTCCAAAATTAGGATGAGTGGGATCCAATCTGTTTCCACATTAGGGAGAACTGCTCAACAGTCCAGGGTGTGTTTATACACAGAGAGGTCATCTGCATCTAAGGAACCAGCCTTGAGAAGGGGCTGAGGAAACAAGTGAGATGTCAATAGTGGCATCTCTCTAGAGGCTTCTTTTGCGTTCTCAGATCAGTCTTTGAGCTATTACTCAATCTTCTCCACTTCCCCTGCAAATTGTCTAGGCCAATACGTGATGACATTTGTCTCCTATCTACTACCCAGCTCTGGGGACATATTGAGGTGTCTGCTCTAAATAGGTGGCATATCACCACTGCCAGCTGCAAAAAGAACCAAGAAAAAGTGCCCCCCTCAAGCACGGCTGCTCAGGGATAACACGCTGTGGTGACTGCAAGACATGAGCTGGATCCACAGGCACAGCCTCGGGGCACAGCACAGGCAGCAGGGAGCAGGCTGAAACACTGCCCACAGCATCCTGCTGCCTACCTGCCTGTTGCTTTCTCAGCTTTCCTGAAGCTCATCTCTAGGGTCCTTGCAAACCATCACACTCAGACACCTGCTGCAGCCCTCTGGGGCCCTCATTCCCCACTTGGTCAGTGTGAGGAAGTTGAGCAAACAGGTTTAGGAAGATAAGCTGCCTGATCACATCACTAAGTGCTCAATAGCCAGAGAGAGCAAACAGGCTCAAGGAGGGAAATACGTGGCTTTTTTAAACTATTTTTTCAGCTATGAAATTATTTTTTTTCTTTTTTAATTTTGTTGGTGTGTTTTGTTTTTTTTTTATTACCTCTTTGCTCCGCTCATCCAAGATCTCCACAAATTTTGCTGGAAACCAACCTATAAAGGATGGACAAAGAAGAGAGTCTGACCCTGAGAAACAACTAACACAGACAAGACCAGAGAAGGTCACCAGTGGAAGGTGAGAATAAATCAGAGTTCATAGGGTCCCACTCCAGAGAAGGAAGTGAGCAGCCCCAAAATCACAAGAATTAAGGCAACTGCACGAGAAAGCCAATTACAGAACCCTGCCCACAAGCAGCAGAGATGACAGGCACCCAACCACCTAGTGCCAGGAGGATGGAACCTAAACTTGCTGTTTGCAAGAGGTGACCAGGTAGCTGCACCACTGCTCTTACACCCTGCTTTAACATTTCCCTTCCCCCTCCCACCCCAGCAGATGCTCCAGGTAACTGGCAGAGCCTCTGCTGCAGATGTGCCAGAGCAGTTGCTGCAGATGAACGGGTGCTCCACATCCAGCCCCACTCTCCCCAGTGCAACACATCCCGGTCTCACCTCTCAGTCCATTCAGCTCTCCCACCCAACAGTGCTCATCCTTCTGGGAAATGATCTGAAAAACAGGGAGTGGAAAATGCTGGTTGAAGAGAGGGCAGTGTCAGGAGAGCTACTGCTGCCTGGCTGTGTGTGTAGTGAGGAACTGCTTTCTTCAACTGTTTTGCCAATGTTCTCTTCTCATGTGGCTCAGGGTCTTCAGGATCAAAAAGCTACTGCAAACATGTTACCCTTGTTTTATCAATTTCAGGTGAGATGCCCATAGCTAAAACACAAATGGATGCTTCCATAGTCTTACCACAGCTTATTGAACATGTTTAAACCAGGACCCAGGTCAGTCCAAATCAACCTTTTGCTCAGCTGCATGGCAGCCAGCCAGGAAAGGGACTTGGTGGTTGCACTGAGAATGACCCACAAGACAACACCCACAGGAACATACTGCCTCATCCCCAGGCAGCCCCCAGGAACACCAACCACTTCCCTTGGACTCCTGACCGGGCTCTAAGCTGATCTCCCTTCTTTCCCTGCAGAAGAGGCAGTGCAGCATCCCAAACCAGCTGGGTCTGCCCTGGTTCCTGCACGAGGCTGACGCACCGTAATGATGTCGTTCTTGCGGAAGCCCAGCTCATCATCGTCGTGGCGCTCGAAGTCCAGCAGTGCCTTGGCTCGTCGCCGTCGGTTGCGGGAACAGGCCACATAGTTCTCGTGGTCCCTCTGGTGGCTTTCCATGCTGTAGTCTGGAGTCAGATCCTAGCATGAATGTGGATGAAGAGCAGAGGAATGAAAAGCATCAGGTGACTCCCAGCTGATCTGCCAAAGCTTGCATGCCCCTGTTCCCAAACCTTTTCCTGCTTCTAGCAGGCAGACAACTTCCCAGGGCACCCCTCCTCCACCAGGGATGGGCTGAACAACCCTCATCCTCCACCCGTTACACCTGGCATGTTCTTTCTTGAGCCCACACTCTAGGAGCATTTGAACTGCCCTCTCCTGTTGTGGACACTCAGCATTCATGGAGTGAATGCACAGCAGTGCAGATCCAGCTGTTCCCACTCACAATGCTGCAGTTCTTGGGATCCACACACTGGAAGTGCCGTGCCACCTGGAGAATGGCCTCACGCAGGTCAGCCACCAACTCTGTCTGCTTGATGTTCTTGGCTTTCAGTGCCTCCAGATCATCATCACCTGGGGGAAGCCACACAGCCAGAGGGAAAATGAGGAAAGGAAAACAAGTATAAAATATTTTTGTTTGTTAACATTAGAAATCATTGATTCTGCAGATGAAAACCAAACACAAACAAGCCCTGACGTTAGAAGTGCCTACACTAAGGCAGGCAACTTATTGCCAATCTACTCAATAATGTAAATAACCCACACCAATTTGACTGTCTCAGATTTTAAGAAGCGTGTCTGTCAAACCACATGTGGAACTGGAAGATGCCATCTTTGATCAGTCTGGACAACTCAGTATCCCAAGGTGCTGTGTACTGCTTTAGAGCAGTGTGTAGGCAGTACATAGACAGCTGAATGGTGTGACACAAAACTAGGGAACTTTCAAAAATTCTCTTCAACTGAAATTCTCTTGAAACTGAAGCACTTTTTGGTTGAACTACTTCTGGTTTTCACATAGCTCATGGGCTGAGAGCATCTTCTTCACTGACTCTTAAAAAAGATTTGAAAAACCAAGACAGCAGACTTCCCTGTCTCAGTCCAGAAGTCAGAGCCACAAGAGAAAATCCACCGTCTACTTAAGACCTTGAACTCTGCAAGAGCCAGATTTCAAAGGTTTTGCATGTATAGAAATGTTCATAAATAAGTACAAGGTAGAAGTTACCAAAGCATCTTTCAACTGTCACTGATTCTCCTAGGAGTTTTGACAGGCTATCTGTTAATTTATGCAGAAAGATACCCAATGGAATTAATTCTTTAGGCCTTTAATGCATCCAAATGCCTTAAAAACTGGGTACATGATGTTCAGGAACATTGAATCATTTGCTTCTTTTTCTAAAAAAAAATGAATCCGTTTGTTTTAAATGCAAATTATGTTTTTGCTCTCTCTGTAATACATTGAAGATGTGATGGCTTGATTATCAAAATCAACATCCAAACCACTGTATTTTTAACTGAACTCTGATTTTTATACAAATGCAGCTTTTATGCAAGACCTAAGTAGATCATCAACCAGCAAATTAGTACTCAGTATGAATTAAGTGTGGCCAGAGATATACAGCTGCTGCAACAGATATGGACACATGAAACTTCTGCTTATTGAAGTGATTAACAGTGTATTTTAATCACAAGTGATCCTAATTAAAAAGACCAAAACTTTAAGAAGATAAATAAAGACACAAAATTAGATTTAAAATTACTTTTATAATTGTTTTCTATTTGCTAAATTAAATCAGACACACAGACCTTAAGGGAAAACTGAACTTTGGTTCTGGACTAGAGACATTGCAGGACACACACACTCCCAGCCCAAGCAATGAAAATTAACAAAAACTCCTCCTCAATGGCCAGGGATAGGAAACCGAAGTCTATTTTCTTACAAGAAGCATGTAAGGAGTGTCACTACAGATTCCCAGATAATCCATGTTGCTAAAACAGAATGTGGCTAAAGAAGCAGCTACTCAACCACAGCCACACTAGCTTTGTGGGCTGCCGTCATCATCACTAATTCTTTCTGTCATCATTCGGTCCCTTCTGGCCAAAATACTGTGCTGCTACCTCTGTATTCAGATCAATCCCACCAAAACACAAGCAGGAGACATGGGAAGCAAGTTCCACATCCTCCCACCTTAGAATATACATGATGCAGAGGAAAGCAAGTGGGGTTTCCACCAGATCCACCTCACTGCACCCAACAAGCCTGCATGTATGTTTCCAAACCAGGCAACCACACTGGATGGGCCACATGTGAGTGGGCTCTATTTTGAGCGCACAGAAACTGGCTAGCTGGATAGTTGTGCAGAAGAGGACTAGTTCTCCTACATTTCCTTGGTGCAGTCCCCATTCAATGGGAAAAGGGCAACATGCACATCTTCTGCCAAACTACCTTTCCCTGTTTCTTCTTTCTATTACTTCATTAGAAATCTGGTCCAGCTCCTTCAATCTCAGCTAGGGAAAGTGCTGGCCAACCTGATCTAGCATGGGCTAGAGTCTGCCTTTGAGCAGGAGAGGTTGGTCTACAAACACCTACAGGTCCCTTTCTAACAGTGCTCCTGTGATTCTGGGACTCCTGACCAAGTTACTGCTAAATTTGCATTCACTCTAAGGAAGAAGAATTAAGTTCTGGCTAAGTTCTTACTCTCACCCTGACAGGGGCCACACACCAGCTCTACACAGGCAGCAGACTTTACACTTAAGGTTGGTTGACACTTCCCAGTATAAGGTGATTTTATCACATTCAAGCTTTCCTTCCCCTCACTTGGGCTGAAATTTTCCTTTCTGGTCACTTGCAGCAGGGTAACAACTTCTCTATTTTAAGCAATGTTTTAATTACTAAGAATAATATTAGGTAAAAACCATGACAATCACTGTACAGAAACTCCAGTAAAATAAGAAAGCACCAACGACCATCTCAGTTCTCCCACTGATACAATTTGAAGCTTGAACTTAAAATTTACCCTAGTGTGTGGGTGTAACTCATTATCACCTTCATAAAGCTACTCAAACTTGGCCAAGGACACACAACCAAGATGCATTTGGCAGCTAAGTGCTCTGCTGGTTCAGTCTGTACTGACTGTACTATAACATTACATATAGGAGCTTAGGTTGCACAAGCAACTTTCCTGTGTTTCTTCACTTCTTCATGCTTGACTTCACAGCTTCATTGATCTTCTACCAATGTTCTTTTAAAAGTAATGCTTGTAGCAAGCCTGTGACAATCTATCAACTTCCTGGAGAAAACCAGAAAAGCTCTCCTCTGAAAAGACCAGTAAAACCCAGTTTTAAATTTATTCAGCCCATTTCAACCACAACAAGAACAGTGTTTGAACCCCATAAACTCAGTATGTTGTCTTATTCCGGAAAAACAATTTCTGTGGTGAAATGTGGCAATTTTAAGCAAGATAACTAGTTGCAAGGAAGGTGATGACAGCTTACAATAGAAAGGGCTATTATGGGGTCACAGAAGCAAGTTACTTTTAAACCCATGCAAAACCTATTCTGTCTGTGTGCTTTCTGGACGTACGTCGGTTTAGCTCCTAAGTGAAAAAAATTAAGACTGAAAAATTTTCACAATATCTCACTCTCAGAGTAAGTAATGGGGAACGTCAGGGATATTTGCATTTATAAATTTTGATGGACACACTGGACCATCCTGCCCTGTCACAGATCTTCAGAAATGTTCCTGAACTGAGCAGGGGAAGATCAGGACAGTACAGCATCAAGTTTGTCGACTGGATACAGTCTGCCAGAAAATGTGTATGACCTGTTGGTTAGTCCAAGAAGGACATTACAGCTGGGCTGCACTGCAGCCTGCTGTTAGTCACCATATAAGGACTAACTGTCTAACCTAAAATTCACTTTCTGAGCTCAGACCAAAGCCAGAAAGTAGAAAACTATACCTCTTCCCTCTCATCCTTCGGTTCTGTCTCTGTTCTCTCCTCTTCCTCTGACCTAGCATTTCCCTGCTTTGCTCACTCCCCTCCCTCCTAGGCTGCTATATCCATCAACACCACATGGAAGGCACAGAACTGCTCTTACCAAAAAGCAGAGAGGTGATGCCAGATTTCCTGCGCTGAGTCCTGCGCCGCACGATCTGAGGGAGGGGAAAGAAAGAGAACAAAATGCACACGTTAGGACCAAGTTCCAAAATAAATCAATCCTCACAGGTCAGTTCTGAGCAAGGGGTCCTCACAGCTACCACTGGAAGGGTCAGGAAAGTCAACTAACCATTTTGGACAGGATTGTGTTCTAGTTCTAACACAACGAACCAGCTCTACTGCTTCCTCTGCTCCATGTGCAATGGGTTATTTACAGCTCAATTATTTTGAAAGCAAAATAGAAGTTCAAGAATCAAGCATGATTTGAGTGAATAATTTTAGTTCTAATTCTCCTTGTTGCCAAAGGCAGTTCTACATGTAATTACGTATAAATTTTTAAGTGGATGCCTATTGCTTTTTAGAATTGCAGGAGTGTCTTGTGATTAGCACACAGACAAGCATCAAGAATCTGTCTTCTACATAGGCTTCACAAACAGGAGCTACTACATCCATACAACTGCAGACTGCAGTCCAAAATTAAACACAAGTGCATTTTTCATTCAGCTTCTCAAAGGCTGCTGCTGTTTTCTAATTCAACCTTCCAGAGTTACTTTAGTGTATTAGTTTCTTACTAATGGATTAACTCCCACTCCTACCCTGCAAACTCAAAGGAAATTCTGCCAAAAGCATCTGTTCTTTCTCTTCGTTTCCATTAATAAAATGCACTTTCCATCATAACTCTCATTAATGATAATTACAAGCAACATCACCTGGGGTTTTATCAAGCAGGATAGATCTGGCAGGATTTCATCTGTACAGACCTCCCCCTCACTTCCCAATAAATTCTCTCCACTGAATGACACAGTCATCCTGATGCCAGAACCCTCTCAGATAGGAGGTCCTCTTGCTCACGAACAGCCATTGTGAGGGAACACATTCAGGACTGGCAAAAACGGAGCAGCAGAGGCAGGTGGGACTCTGTGCACCCACCTTGGATAAATTGTTGACAGTGGTGCTGGAGTTGAGCAGCTGCCCTTGGTCAGCAATGAGGTAGGCCAAGTGTTTCCGACGCTGGGTCTCCACTGCCACATCTGTCAGGGAGCCAGCCACACGCATGGCCTCCTGCAGCAGCACATCTGCATCTTCCATCTGACTTGGGATGTCCGAAAGCGTGTTGAAGATGGAGGCAGAATTCTCAGACTGGATTAGCTCATCCTCCTGCAACAATGCAGTCATTTTGCCACACAGAACACAACACCTATGCTCTTGAGGCTGCTAGATACAATTTCACATTCAAACTACATTTGGGAAGGGAATAGCATCTTTTACTGCACTGAGATCTCCCCCCAAAATTCTAGCTGGCATGTTTCTGAAGCACAGCATTCATCATTGAAATAAAGCCAAATCAGCAAGAAAAGACAA